CGGGAACCTTCGCTTCGGAGTTCGGAAGCACCTTGCTGATCACGCTGCGGGGACACGCGAGACGGGGGGGGACGACGACTTGAGCAAACATGGAAACTGTTGCGATACTCTCAGGACAAATGCAAGTGACGGGTGAGGAGTTGCTTTCCTGATCTGCTCAACGGTGCCTTGAAAAAATGTGCTTGGTCAATCTTAAATTTCACACGATTTTCTTCACTTCAATTGATATGCGCATATTCGTGCCAATAAAGAGCCAAATCTTTTCAAAAAATATCCACGAGGAGCACATTCCAGTTGCGACAGCCTTTTTGCACAAAATAATTTCCCCCCCTGAGGGATTAGAAGTCGTCAAAGAAATCAATCAATACTATACCGTGAAGTTTTAAACAAAATAAATATGCAACATTTCGAAAGTGAATTCATATTTGCCTTTTTTTTTCAATGCACGACACAAGCACATTTGCAACAAGGCGTTTATCTTGTTCCATCATCTTGTGACGTGGTTCATACGGGAAAGCTGAGCCAGTTGTCATCGTGCGGCCTTTTGCGCCACCCTCACGTGACAGAAAACAACCAAGTGCATCGGTGGCGGCAAGGCGAGAAAGGCAATTTTTACAAAAAAAAAAAAAGGCTTGAGCTGCTCTTACATTTTGTCCTGGCCTCCCACGCGCAGCGTCAATCTGGGAATGACAGGAGAGGGAGCCACCACCGGAGCGTCCGCCGCCTTCACCTGTGCCAACGCAACACATTGCCATGAGAAGAAAAAAAAAAAAAAAAAAGGCTGTTCCAACAGCCGAACTTTATCTGGGGTCCGCTGAAAATCCCTTTGCGGAGATGACAATCTGCCGCTGCCTGGCGCCATTTTACTCAGCAGCTATTTGGACATTTTGGACTTTGCTTTGAAATGTCTTGACCGCCGTTTGGAACCACTTTCACATGTCATTTTTCACAGAGCCTTCCAGGCAGATTGAGATGCGTTTTAGATGAAATGCTGCGATTCGATGACTTTGTTTGCAAGGCCGAGGTACCGCGTCGGAATTGGTAAATGTCGAAATAATGTGACATTTCTTCTTATTATTATTAAGCCGCTTTCATAACCCCCCCCCCATACCACCACCCTTGATTGAGGATTTTTTTTTTTTTTGAAGAGTAATATTCTGGGGATTTTACAGTCCATGGTGGGAAACAATTTTGGGACCCGCAAGGGACTCACTTCACATTCCAACAGCATTTAAAAACTGAACAAACAAACTCCCAAAAAAAAAAACTACCGAGCGACCTGGTAAATGTCGAAACAATGTGAAATTTCTTATTATTATTAAGCCGGGGGGGTGAAGAGTATTATTCTGGGGATTTTACAGTCCATGGTGGGAAACAATTTTGGGACCCGCAAGGGACTCACTTCACATTCCAACAGCATTTAAAAACTGAACAAACAAACTCCCCAAAAAAAACTACCGAGCGACAGGAGCAATTTGGAGTGCGGTACGCAGGCTCCCTCTGGTGGGATGCTCAAGAGTCCTCGAAGTCAATGAACCGGAACGTGACGGCGTCTTGGACAAATGGACTTTTCAACACAGACAGTTGAGGGCTATTTATCGCTTTTACGTTTGCATGTATTCCTTTTTCAAACTGGTTTTCAAATTAGGCCTCAAAATCAGGACCCCCTCCCAGAAAAAAAAATTTGAAAAAGAAATGACACTCTGCTGAAAAATGAATGCTACTTCATCTTGCAACCCCCCCACCAAAGTACATCGACTCCGATGCTATGGTGGCTAAAACATTGCACAGAGTTATCGCCGCGATGGACCCCCCCCCACACACACACACACACACACCATCACATGTATCGCCTCCTTGATTTGAATCAGGACGCTTCCTTTTTCAAACAGATTGGTTTTCAAATTAAGCCTCAAAATCAGGACCCCCTCCCTCCCAGAAAAAAAAATTTGAAAAAGAAATGACACTCTGCTGAAAAATGAATGCTACGGATGTGTTTTGGCGGCGTAGGCATAGCAAGCTAGCTCGCTAACGGCACAATGTAGCGGGAGGAACGGAGCTCGAGAGTTATCGCCGCGATGGACCCCCCCCCACACACACACACACACACACCATCACATGTATCGCCTCCTTGATTTGAATCAGGACGGCGCACTGCCCTGTAAAATGGGGCATCAGATGCGTTTCCGCGGCGTAGGCATAGCAAGCTAGCTAGCTAACGGCACAATGTAGCGGGAGGAACGGAGCTCGTCCTATTTCAATCACTCGATGCGACGCCCAAGTTTCAGTTGTGATAGAAGGGGCTCGGGTTCTGATATTGCGGTCGAATCATGCCCGATTTGGCGTTGTAACCCCCCCCCCCAAAAAAAAAAATATATATATCAGGAAAACTGAAGCGGTGGGAAATGGTTTAGCGTGGCATCTCCACATTTGAGTCCAAGCTCGTTGTCGGTCTTTGCTCCTTTTCCGCAAAGACCTGGAAAGTTTCTGAATTGACTTTCGCAGGGTTGAGGAATAAAAACTTCTCTGCCTCATTTCTGAGGGACAGAGCCGATCGCGGGCCGACAACTCGATGCTAACCTCGCTCGTTATTGGAATGGCCGAAGAGCCGACGTTTTTTTCGAGGTGATTTAAAATATAAAAAGAGGGGGGAGGGGGGGTAAGCACTGACCCCAACATGAGCCATTTTCCCAAATCAGAACAATGAAAAAAAAAAAGACCTTCTCCAATCGGAGTCTCTCCTTGTCTTTCTCCTTCTCCCGTTTGTCCTTGTCGCGCTCCTTTTCTTTCCTCTTCTCCTCCTTCTCCTTGGCCCTCTCCCGCTCCTTCTTTTTCTTCTTCTCCTTCTTGTCTTTCTTCTTGTCCTTCTCCTTGCTCTTGGCGTCCTGGAGCGCCGGCATCAAGGCGGGCGTGACGGGGGGCAGGCGCTGGCAGGAGGAGGGACCGAAGAGGGCGGGGAGCTCCCCCAGGGCCACCACGGGGGCCAGGGGGCCTTGCTTGTGCCGCTCGTCCCTGCTCCTGTCTTTGCCTTTGTCTTTCTTCTCCTTCTCCTTCTTGCCTTTTTCCCTGTCCTTCTTTTTGTCTTTGTGCTTGTCCTTGTCTTTTTTGGGGCCGCCGCCGCCGCCGCCGGCACCCTCGCCGTCCCTGGTTTTGAGCTTGACGACGGCGCCCTCGGGCGGCGCAAAGTCCCGCTGGGCCAAGAGTTGGTCCTCCTTCAGTCCAAAGTCCTTCCAGAGAACCTTGCCGTCCTTGGACAAGTCTTTGCTCTTGCTCTTGTCCTTGTTCTTCTCCTTGAGCTTGCTCTTGTCCTTCTCCCGCTCCTTGTCTCGCGGCTTCTCCTTCTTCCTCAGCTTGCTCTTCAGCTTCTTCTTCACGTCCAGCGCCGACAACTTGGCTTTCTCCTGGAACACCTTGAGCAGGGGTTCGGGCGTCGGAGGGGAGGCCGACCCGGACGAGACGTAGCGCTGGCGGTTGGGCGGCCGCGGCGAGGGCCCGCCTTGGTGCACCTTGCGGATCACCTCGTCGATGGAGTCGTCCAGCGTCCACTTGCCCGGGCCCAGCTGCAGCTGGAGCGGCGCGGGGGCGGCCGGGCCG